TGTGTGTGTGTATAAGTGTGTATGTGTGTCTATGTGTGTGTGTGTATCTATGTGTGTGTTTGTGTGTGTGTGTCTATGTGTGTGTGTATAAGTGTGTATGTGTGTCTCTGTGTGTGTCTATATGTGTGTGTGTATAAGTGTGTGTTTGTGTGTGTGTGTGTTTGTGCGAGTGTGTGTGTATAACTCTGTGTGTGTCTCTGTGTGTGTCTCTGTGTGTCTATGTGTGTGTATAAGTGTGTGTGTCTGTGTGTGTGTGTATATGTGTGTATCTGTGTGTTTGTGTGCGTGTGTCTATGTGTGTGTGTATAAGTGTGTGTGTGTTTATGTGTGTGTGTTTGTGTGAGTGTGTGTTTGTGTTTGCATGTGTGTGTGTGTTTACAGAAATTTATCGCCAGAGTAAGATGTGAGTTTTCCAGTTGCATCAACCAGTGTGTTAAAAACACGGCCAGTTTTTATCACATGAAATGCATTTGATTTGCAGGGGCTCTCATACCCCCCAGCAAGGGCATCTTCAGCTTGGCCCTTTGCTCCACAGCTGAAAATGGCTGTTCAGCCTCAGGCCTGCCGCTGCTGAGAGCGAGGAGAGATTCCCGATAGGTGGGAAGTACAAGGAAAGACAGTTCTTGTGCTTGGGGCCAGGGGCATCTCTACAGCTAGATCCACTGTGGGTTTTTTTTCCCCTGCTTGCTCTAGAAGTTGAAATCAGTTTTTTAATTGGTATCACAGACATGCATGTTACATTTTGATCTGGGTCTGAAGCATGCTTTTGAGCTGACCGTTCCTGCTTGTAGTATTTTTGTTGACCTTATGGAGCAGCCCTGGAGAGCTCATGAGCAGGTTTCCTTACACAGGGAACTAAAGCAAAGAAGCTGCTCTCCTGCTGCTCAGGGATGTCCAACCCACAGGGTTAGTCCAAAGCACAGGCTCCTGAGATGCCCTCAGTGTGAAGGTTAAGTCCTCAGTGCCAAACGCTCTGCTTTGTGTTCTCACTCCTATAGCCTGGCCCATATAGCAGATGTAGATATTGCCTGAAGACTATTATAAAAGGTGCTGAGTTGTCTGTCCTGAAGGCAGAAATCTGCCCTGTAGCCAGCACTGGGAATGGCAAGGAATGTTTTCCCTTGTTGCTGTGCTGTTCTTGAGCAGCCAGCTCAAATGGTGGGGAGTATTCATGCCTCTGCATTCCTGAGTTTGGTACTAGGAATGCAAACAACTGCCATCCCCGAGCTGGCTTTGTGCTGAGAATGTTTGTCCGCTGGGAACCGAGAGCCAGATGTGCTTCACATAGTTTCCAGGCAGCACTGATCCATCAGATGACAGTAGCTATTGAGTGCTCTTATGGTGGCCCAGAGACTCTAAGATGAAAGCCTGATGCCTGTCAGCACCTCCCTTGCTATTCCTGTGTCCCTTCAGTTTTCACTTGAGTCTCCTCACAAAAGCAAATGCCACAGAGCACAATGTTGCAACGCTGATGACCTTTATTTTTGAGAAAGAAAATCCCAACTTTTATAATGTTGAACTGTCAGACAAATTTGGGATACTTTGTTGTTAAATGCTTTCCTGCACCCGCTCCCACTGCCCATGCAGCTGTTTGGAGCCTCAGCTGGGAACCCACCTCCCTCTTCAGAAGCATTTTCCATAGCATCTCCTGGATGAATTTTACTAGGGAAGATGAACAATATTTAAAGCCCCTCTCAAACAAAGGTATTTTCATGGAAGTAAAAAAAAATCTGACGAACAGTCAAAGAGAAAACACTACAGAGAGACCTGGAATAATTTCTTAAAGAGTGGTTTGTGTTGTTTCCCAGCTGCTCTGCCTTTAAACAGCCTCTTACCCCCAACTCAGGGGCTCCACCAATTGTCAAAGCAAGAACTAACCAGTGCCAGATTCAAGTCTCAAAATACAAACCATTTTACATATGAGGAGCAAAGGGGTTTGGGGCTGGTTCATACGAAAACTTCTAAGCATTATTGTAGCATAAATAATATGGCATCTTTCACCTCAAATAGCCTAACACTTCATAAAGTGATATGAGCTTCACTAGTTGCTGAAACACAGCTATTTCTGAAGTGGAACCTGATATCTTCTTTTTTTTTTTTCTTTTTTTTTTTCAACCAGCAGAGAGCAATGTTTTAAGGTGGAGAGTGAAGGATACAATATACAACCAATCATAAGTATAATCTAGGAGGGCTTTGCAAAATGGAAAGATCAAGTAAAATCTACTTGTAGTAACAGCATGCATTCTGGTGTATCATAAACCCGCATCCTTAGTTTACAAATGCAATTAATTTAAAAGAGATACAGAAAACTCAAATAATACTTTGTCCTCTCTCTTTCAGGAATACTGTCTTACAGCTCTTTGGTAGCTGATGCTCTGGTTTCTTTCCTTTCTTCGTTTAGTTTAATGTCCAAGTCCCGGAGCTGGCTGAGGAACCCTGAATTTGGGCAGATGTCTCTGTGAGCGCCCACTGTTTTCAGAGCATCCACGAGTGTCATGTTTTCATGGATCATTAAAAAGGCAAGTACTAAAGTCGCGGAGCGGCTCACCCCCATGGCACAATGAACAAACACCTTACCTGCAGAAAAAAAGAGGCACAACTAGGTGACTGGGCTTTAGCATTTCTGAAGTGAGAAAGACACAGGAAGGACAAAAACTACTAGAAACAAGCTGGGAAAACACCAGTGACAATTAGCAGATACTCATGTTTTCAGTTTGCATAAGATCATGCCATACATCTCAGGCAAGGCAGTATTTCATACTGACCTCATGCATCTACTTTAGGTCTCAGATTAAAATAGTTGAAATTTTCTGTGAAAGGAGAAGCTTTCTATGACTCAATTTATTAGTATAGTTTTCTGTGGGGAAAAAAACCAAACCAAAACAAAAAAACAACCAGTTTTGGCAGAAAATTTTGGCCCAGCCCTGACTGTGATCACTGATGAGTCCCATAAACTCTGTAAGATAGTCTGCCTGTAAAAATGGACTCATAATTTACTGTATCTCAGCAGCCCAGTATGAGCTATAACTGGGGATTTAATAAAGCACTCCAGTGAAAGCAGCAGATCTTGCAGACAGTCAGAGTTGAAGCAAACTCTGGAACAAATGGAAATTATGATAACTAGGCCATACTCCAAACTCTGCTGACAAAAATTCAGCAGGCTATGGGTCAGGCTCGTAGTTTTTGACTTAGTTCATTAACTTCTGCTGCTTCTCTGGCTTAATAGACAGCCTGAATAAAGCTCCAATTCTGCGAAGCACTTAATCATTTAAGCCAGGGCTGAAGTGCCACTGCTCCCAGCTGAGTGTGTCAGGAGCAGGCACAGGGCTGCGGCACATGGGGCAGGATCACTGGGCTGGAGCCCATGCCGGGGTGCAAGGTGCCTGTGGAGGCACAGGGATCCTCCCAATGCCTGCAGGATGGACCCGTGGGGGAGCACCCGCAGTGCCACAGCCTCTGCCCTTCCCTCTCACTCTGCCATGCTGGTCTTGGGGCAGCCAGCCTCCCCCAGCTGCTGGGGCCCTGGCCATGGCCACCTTCCCTGCAGCACATGGCACAGGCACCCATCCCCTCCTCTGCACGGCGGTTCTGTGTGAGCCTTCTCAAACCGTACACAGAATTTGCTGGCTGCCTGCTACTGCAAAGAGGAGTCATTTGGCTTGTGTTGAAACTTCCTCCCAAAGCTTCTCTTTGCCTCCCTCTTACCTCCTGAAGTGTTTAAGGCTTTGCCTATGAAATTGGCAGCATCGTAGAAGAAGATACTTAAATCAAAGGACGGATCATCAAATGCTTCTACTCCATAGTAGTCTATTTGCAGATCTTTGTAATATTTGGCTCCTGTGTTGATGCTATATGGTCCATCTGCTGCATTAAGGATATGAGTAATGTTGAGGCTTTGAAGAGTAGTTTTGCTCCTAGCAGCCCACCTGTTGAAAGACATGAAGGGCTCATTGGCAACACTCCTAACGTTCTGTTAAAATAGCATGGTTTAAAGTTAGTCCCTGCTCCCGCTAGGGAAGGATGCAGGAACTGCAGCTTTCTTACAGAGTGGCAAATTTCAAGAAGCCCCTAGTGCTTTACACATGAAAAATGTGATATGACGTTGCAGACAGCAAAAGCACAGACTTGCCGGCGCGATACTGTTAGTTAAACAAATGCCTCCTAGCAGTTAATCCCTGGGAACATGGCTTACCATATAAAGTGGTCAAGATTTTCCTTTAAATTGTTGTTTAGCAAGTTCTAGAGCTAATCTCTCATCATAGTGTGCGTGGGTCACAAGGGTGAGAACCCACACAGAGGCAGCAGCACCTTGTTCCTGGTTCGGACATGAAGCAGCTGTGTCAGTTTACCAGCCAGGTTCTCCGCCCCTTCCTACCATAAACTGGGACTAAAGCTATTCCACAAAATTGTGATCTTTAACTGATGTATTCATGAGGAGGAGGAGGAGTTGGGGAAAATGAGCTGATGATCTATGTAATCTGCAGTAATCCAAATAGAAGGAAAGGGCAATAAATGGAAGTGGTCACGAGAATAAGGTATTTGCATGAAAATGACTGTTTGCTGTTTTCAGTTTAACCATCTTTGAAAGAAGGTTGGGATTTGGACTGGCAAAATCCCTGTTGTATAATTCTTTTGGGTCCTCTTCTGTCTGGCTCTTGATCCTGCTACTCCTATTTGAGTGCAAGGGCTCCTGTGCTCTTGTCTGCTACCTTAGAGCACAGTTTCCAGAGCAGGTAACGCACCTCAGAATTGACACCAATTTGGAAAGGGTTCTTTAAGGAATTTTGTCTAGAATACAAATAATTCTTACCCTGCCAAGTCTGCTGTGGTTCACAGAATATAGAAAATGCAACTGAGACACACTATGAGTAAGTCACCATTTTGTATATCATGTTTTTCATGACATCCAAACTTCTTACGTTACCAGTTTTGGAAGCCTGTATACAAAACCATCCCTGCAGACCCAAAAGCTGCTCCCCGGTATACCACACCACTTCCTCCTCCTCCCAGGGACCAATAACAGTTTAATGATAGGATCATATGTTCTTACGCATCTCCCAGGTAAATATTTGGCCAGACTTGGTCCACGTGATTATCAGACCCTCCTCTGAACCAAAGGAGCCGCTGGAGGTCTGATAGTGCTGGTGTTTCATAGGAGGCTTTGCTCCCTGCACTGCTAGTTGGAGATGAAGAGGCTCTGGCGTGAGGCATCTTGCTCCTCTCTTGCATGCACTTGGGCTGTATCAGAGACAGCTTTTCTGAAATGAGTTAAGAGGAAATTTTCATACAGAAATAATATTCCCTAGAAAGTAGTCCTGTTCATTACCCTCCAAATAGCGTTACATTATTATAACTAGTGTGTGCAGCACGACCTGCAGGTGTTGCTAAAAGCTGGACTGACTCTGTGGTAGGACTCCACAGGCATGTAATTCATCCCCTGAGAAAGCAGCAGCATGAGACAATACGATTTAATTTCTTGTCAAGTATCGCTGCTGAAAAAGAACATCCTGTGCCACCAGAATGCAGCAGCGGCTGAACCTCGTAGGTGCAGGTACTATTTCTGTTACTATAGTGCTGATGAGTGTATGCAGGAAAGCTCCAGTACTTTATGTTAGAGAGTTACCAAAGTGCTTGTGCACACTCGATTCTGGTTAGTTAAAACAGGAAGTTTTTGAAAGAATGAATCTTTGGACTGACTTACTAGGGCCAAGGTGGAAATCTTCGGATGTGTATGTAAGACATATATTCATGTAGTGCATGTGTATACATATATAAAATACATGTGCATACCATTTTCTTTCATTTATAGGTATGTATTTAAACACATACATACACATACATCTATACATATGAACAGATTTTCACATGCATATATACTTATCGCTATATATGTCTGTATGTATAGAAATAGAAATACAGATTATTTGAACTAGTTTTTTCTGTCTCTCAGGTGAATACCCTGAACACTCAGCTATACGGGTATACTTGTGTCTGTCTGTCTCAGTCTCTCCTCTGGGAGCTGTTCCACTTTGTATAAATAACGTGATAGCTATTTGCCTCCAGAGAGAGGCTGTTTCTCTTGTCTGAGGAGTGGGGTACTTCCCTGGGATGTGAGGAAAAAGAGTATCTGAATTTGGGGAAATTATAGAGCTGAAAGTTCTGACTTTGTTGTCCTGTTGAGAATCCCATCTAGGACTATTTTGCTCCCTCATAGATCATGCAGTGGAATGTGGGCCACCCATTTGCAATGTTATTTCCTGGTTTAGACCTAGGAAGCTCAGGCCAGCCAGTCCAGCCTGAAGCAGAGCTCAGCTGAGAGCAAGAGTTCAAAGGTATCCAAGTAGTCCCTTCTCTGAGACTTCAGGAGCATTTCTCCTGCCAGGATCTCATTATCCTGAATTGCTGTTCTCGCCCCCAGAGAACATTGATGAGCTTTGTTTGGTTGGTTGTTGGTATTAAAGCCATAATCAATGTGGGAGCCACACTAGAACTCTTCCCAAAGTGGGGTGGCTGGGATTTATTCTGATATGGCATCAGCTTTCACTCTAATGCCTGAATGCCTAAATCTAGAGTTTGGGTTTATTTTCTCAGCAATTCTAGAAAACAAGTGCAGACGGGACCTTTGGAAGTCATCTAGTCTGTCCCCTGCCCCACAGCAGCAGCAGTCAGATGGATGTTGCTCCTAAAGCAACAACAACTTTGTCCAGACATCCAGGTACATTATTTTTAATAGTGTAGGCTGATTTGGGGAATAAGTGGAAAGCAAGGGAGAATATCTTGTTGCTTATGGAAAAAGAAATAGAAATGATGCAAGGCATATTATTGAACACACCACATATATTTCTGTGACCTCAGTCTAAATTTGCTTCCCCTGCCCTCTTCTCCCTCCTCCTCCCCACAAATGTTGAGCAGTTACAGCTTTTTGTATGTTCCAATAAAAATGAAGTCTCCCTAGGGTAACTACTTAATAAGCAAAATATGAAAAGCACAATAAAAATGATGGGAGAGATGGAAAAAAAGCTGACTGGTTTTAATTTTAATGATGAGGGGAAAGAACTGCAGGGAAGCAGACAGGAATAAGGGACAAAAGCCTACAAATTTTTCAGGGCAGATAATGTAACACTAAGAGCTTTAGTAAAGGGGTATGTTGTGCAATCCCAGCACAGATTAGCATGAAGAATAGCACAGAAAAAAAGATATTGTGCATTGCCCTGCAAGTTTTACTGTCTTGCAAAAGTCATGCACTGTGCTCAAGAGCTACTGCCAGCATTGTCATGATGACCTGTTTGTATTTTCACCGACACAGAACGTTAAGCTGAAGCAGTAAAAGGAAATCAAGAAAAAGATAATACAGCTTCTACATCAGGAGATTCATAAGACCACAGGCTTGTTTTCAAGGAGTGTGGCTGACCCTCAGTCGCTGCAGGTGTTTAAAGACTGAAGTTGCAGAGGTAAGCAGATGGATACTAAAATTTCAGTTCTCCTAGCCCCACTGCATTAAACTTCTGTTGCAGCCTGGCAGCTAGTTACAGTAATGGAGATGATTTCCAGGGGAAAGGAAAGAGATTATTAGCAGAGAGAATTACATTGCAAGGCCTCTTGTTCAAGACTTGACTTTGAGGAGGTTCTCCAAGAATTGAGTCATTTTGGTGCCAGTGACACTTAGCAGGCGACTCCAGCCTTTGCAGGCCAGGAGGTGCTATGCAACAGAGCTCCCTTTCATACAGCAATCCTCTTTCCAAAAAGCACGTCAACATCGTTTGCTTCACGTGACTAATGCCAGACAAGTGATCTCCTCGTGTCAATGTGAAGTACAGCTCCTCCCAAGCACACTGCTCCATCCTGTGCTGTGCTGGCCTTGAAATTGAATTGCTCTGCGGGGCCTTTGGGGTAAGCTTGGAAATAGCTACACCAGATGATTGGACTAATGAGGAAAGTAATATGAATTTTTTAATTGAAGGACCGGGACTTTGCTGAGGGTTCCCCCCCACCCCTCTTTGCAGGCACTGCAAAGCTAGCAAAAGCACTGCCACTGATTACATTTCTCTAAGCTTCTCCCTCTGGGTGGCTCCCAGAAGCTGCTCTAGTTGGAAACAGCCAGTGACTGTGGGAGGGCAGGAGCCCCTGTAACTGGAAAAAAAACCATGTTGTGTCTTACAAGGTCACTAACATTTTCTGCAGACATCTAGACCATGAAAGTTGGATAGGATTACTTTTCTTTTAAACTGTAGCCTGGAAGTACCTAAAGACCTTCTCATTAGATTCTTTCTTTCTCTCCTTTTTTTTTTTCTTTTTTCCTGATTAAAAGCCAAACAACAGCAACAGGCAAAAGCCTTCTACCTATAGGAGACTCTTGAGACTGGATAGAGATTTTAAGGGCAATCCAGATGTATTAACCTCCCTGCTTCCCTGACAGAATACAAGGTGGCACAAGCTTTAAAATTGTTTTGTCACTAAGCATGAGTTCCCTAACACCCAGAGCACCACCCCAAATGGCCAGGTCCTGTTTGGCCATTAAGTCACAGAGGCTTGGATTTCCCTGGCAGGCACAAGAGCCCCTCTGGGGGCAGAGGCTGTGGGTGACTGTGGGGCACTGCTGGGAGCACCCAGGAAGGGCTGCGGGTGACCCTGCACGCTGTCTGCATGCAGCTGGGAGCAGCTCCCAAGAAACTCGGTCATTCCAGGACCTCATCTGCAATAACCAAGCTGAGTTTTGTATCTCCCTGATGTTATCCAGCCACCTGAGTACTACAGTCTGCGAAGCTTTTTTTTTTTTCCTCCCTACACTGCAAACAATTGCCGTTTTCTACTGAAGATTTTTCTGTCAAAGAAAAGAAAGAAACACACAACCCCACACTTGAATTGGCTAAAGCATTTGGCAGATTTGTGTTGCATTTGCAGATTTCAGTCAAAGAAACATCAGCAAGGTTTTAGAAAAAAACGTAATATTGTAGATTTGAAATAGTTCATTTTGTTATTTCCAAACAAAATTACCATTTCGCTATTCAAAGTTACTTCTGTTTTGGAATTTTACTTTAGCATTGCACAAAATATTTTAAAATATTAAATCAAGATTAAGTGGCTTGTTCCTGGTTGAGAAAAACATATTTTGTTTAACTAAAAATGAACACAACTAACTGAACAGCCACTTACTCACCTAGCCCTCATTTTCACTTCTGCAACAGTGGGAAAGCCTCTTGCCATTTTGCCATGGTTGTTACCTGTCTCCTAAAGACGAAACTGAGCTGTAGAGAGGTTGAATAACTATCCGAGGTCCCCAAAGGAGTCTGTAGCAGGGCATTAGTTGGTCCCCAAGTCATCTTTCTTATATCCCTTTAGCCAGCACCTTCCTAGCTGGCACAGCTCTGCTTGAGGTTATGATGGTAGCCCATAACAAGGTCTTACATGAGATTATTGATAGCCTTGGACACAGTAGGGCACTGATTTTGGATGGACCTGTGGTTATTACAATAACACAAACGCTTGATAACAATAACATGATACAGAAAGCTCCTGCAGCCAAATATCCTAAATTCCCGGAATCAAACCCTGGCAAACTAAATGGTTCAAAATACCAAAGCATGAGATCAGAATATCATTCACATGAGGAGGAAAAAAAAAAAAGCGCCTCTTGATGCATTTGAAATTGCTCTCTACTCTGTTTTTTCTTCTCTTTTCTCTCAGCAAGCATCTCTGCACTCATCTTTTACACTCCTTGCTCTTTTCTCTCAGGTAGTGCTTAACACTACAGCTCTTTGTCCTCATGATGGAAAAATCCAGATGGAAAGAAGTGTGGTTCACAGGGAAATGATCATGTAAGTGGAATTAATCTTTCAGATACTGTAATGTGAAATCTGATCTTCCTTTTTGTTAAGAAGACCCAATCTGTGTCTCTACATTTTGGCCAGAATCTGATGCTAAGAGAACCCAGGAGTCTCTTGAGGTAGAGCTGAAAGCCTCGTGTGCAGAAACAGGCACATTTAAAAGCAATAGCAAAGTTAAAACAGCCAGATGGGAACCTAGCAGGCAACCGAGAGGGGAACTCTCTGTTTTCCTTGCAAGTCTACAGGGGCTTGTTTGCAGGAATTAGAATCTCTCACCAGCAGTTCACTGCAGCTCTAATACCAAGTGGTATTGAAAATGAGAAGCAGGTTATGGCTGATGGTTTAAATGAGGCACCTATGGGAATTTAGAAATGAGATCCTGGACTCGTCTTGATGTAGACCATGCACATGGCAGAGCAATATTGCTTTCTTGC